GGCAGCAGTAGAACAAAGAATGTGAGCAAATTTTAGTCAATTCATTTTCATGTATGTCGCAGAAAGCTGTTGATTAAAGGCTGATTAAAGAAATTCATTATCTGGCACTATCATGTTCCATACCAAAATTCTAGCTTCTTAACTTTGCAAACTAAAATTTGTGCAAGTATCCATGTATTTTCTGACAGGTATAACGATAGTCCCTGTCACTGAAACTCATGGTCAACATTGCTAAAGAAGCCACAAAAATCAACTCAGTCCCTGTGGGAACCCGAGTGCACAACTGAAAAATTGGTGTCACCTCCTTTGCCCCTGAAGGAGGCTTCAGACAGCTCTTTTCAAAAGTGATAAAATAGTCCCTAAAGTACTGGTTCCTCGCTACTGAGGATACACTTCCCACAGTTGCACATAACAAGAGAAACTGCAATGAAGAGAAAGCGACCTCTGTATTTATACACAGCAAAAACTTACTCTCCTTCCCATGCAGCAGGCGTGAAAGGAGGGAGGCAAGAGAAGGAGCCACAGAACCTTTCTCCTTTCATAGTTTTTTCATGCATGAAAGGAAGAGAGGTCAAGTTCTCATGCCTGCTTTCCTAAAGTCACACTCTGGCCACGTCCCATCAGCACACACTGCATGCAGTCAGTATTCCTGCTACAAACTAAGGACCACAGGAGGTGAGGAGGAGACCATTTGAGTAGAAGGCAAGGCAGCAGTATTCAGGAAACGGGTTAGTTTAGATCAAACCATCTTATACCACAGCAGAAAATGAGCATTTCCCTGTGCCATAACCAGACAAGCAGATTTACCTGGAAGGCCTTTTGGTTTTGATTTCCTACTGGCATCAGCTTTGCCGTATCTTCATTAAATGCTTATAACACTATGCTTTACTGGCAATATTGGGAAGGGCAGGGGGTTAATATCGCTATCCACATCCTGCGTTTTACTTTATTTTTGGCACGGAGGCTGTTTACAAGACAGTATTATCACCGACCATTGTCCTCTGCTCAGCAGAAGTGTCACGGTTCAAAATACATCCAGTGCAGGACAGACACGCTTGCCTATCGTCAGTGCTATTTTAAAGAATGACATGACTCATCGAGTCTTCAATCAGGAGCCTATTTTAAGCCCCACTGTCATTAACAGAGACTAACCCGGGCAAAACAGCAGACTGCTGCGAACGGTCAAGAAACACTGCACGGTGGGGGCGGTCAGTGGGAAGTGAGATCAGCCTGGACATACTAACACCAGGCCAGAATTGACCTTTTCTGGAACAAAGCTAGTGGTTTCTTAAAGCTCTTCATGATTTCTCATCAGGTCTAAGTCTGTTATAGCCTCTAGCAGTGAGATGTAGAATGAAAAATCCAGCCCAATTTCTCCACCTTACAGAAAAAGCCTGCCTCCTACTCAGGAGGGAAAGACAAGGCCTCTCAATAGTTATATAAAGAAAGATCTGTCAAATTCATTTTCTGGGCTTGGAGATCACCGTGACAACATAAAGGCAGATTTTTGAAGAGTAAGAGTTAAGGAATTACTAGTCCAACTATAAAAAAACCAAACTGGGTAGAAAAATTTGACTGAAAGTTTAACAAAGGCCCATCATTGGGGAGATTTTTCAAGAGGGACTGGTCTAAGAAGCACAAGTATGTTGTAATAAATGATCTTGCCTTAGGGACTAATGACAGCACCTTCACAAAAGGTCTTTATCATTGCAAAAGTTCCAAAAGTTACCAATTATTGAAGATTTTTTTTCTATTAACTTTTTTTCTGTAATTACATAAAGAACTGAAATTCTACAAGCTTGGAGAGTGTTTGGATTCCATTTTGTATCCTCCAGGCAAAAGGATGACAACTATATCTGATTGCATGGTTTATATGCACTGAATTTTTATCATTAAACCCACTGAGGCAGAGCTAAGGGGAAGGGGTTCCTTAATTACATCTGCAATAACTTAATATTTGATCAAACTATGCTTTTTTGGTTATTAAAAAATATCTTCAAAAATAACATTATGTGTAAACACTGAGATATAAACTAGACATTTTCTTTTCCATTATAGTACATGCAGTAGGACTATCTAAAACAAATAGTATCTGTATTATGTTCATAAAAACATTAAGGATACAGTTCTTTCACTTAAATAAGAATTGTGTATTATTACTTATTCAGAAAACCATTTAATTTGTTGAAAATTAGAACCGAGATTTTTTTTTTACTGGGGTACATTTGATATTTATGAAAAAAAAAAAGTAATGGCCTATTGATACCTTAATTTCTATCAAAATTTGCCATGTATAAATAAAATTTCCCCACTCTGAAACAAAGTTTGATCTTAGCAACATTCAGGAAAAGTTAAAATGTTGCTCTTATTTCATGCAGTTATGCTGATTTTCCACAGGCGCTAATAAGATCGTACAATCAGAATCCGTGTTCCCAGAAGGAAAATATAATGGAATATTGAGTATTAAATGGCATGCGTAATGAATTGCTATGGTACTTATCTAAGAAAAGTAAAATACATTTTAAAAAGATGTAGTGTTTGTGTACTCTTAAATAATACTAAAAACCTACTTTTTTATTTTTAAAGTATGATAGCTAGATTTTTTTCCCCCTTTAAACATTCCAGTATTTGGTTGATTCATGCAAAATCCTCCATGAACTGTAGCTTTTCCCTCTTTCCATAATGCAGAAAAACAATGGGAGTTTGAATGAACTTTGTTCTTGTGTGAACTGCTGATATAAGTTCCAGATGTTTGGGAGCAGCAGAAAGTGTAAGCGTTTCAATCTAATCTCATCCACTAATCTCTTTGATCAGAATTACTTCTACCAGCTAAAGGTACCTAATTTGAAATTTATAGATGTTAATAAAAAGAACAAATTTCTGAGGGCTGTAGGTAGGGCTGCAACAGAGCCAACTTTCCGTTGTGGAGACCGGTGTGCTGTCACTGGAAAGTTTTGCTTCTCTCAGTGCTGAGGACTCCTAATGCAGAGTGTTGAGGGCTAATATCAACTGCTTCTATGCAGCCGCAAACAGTTCAATTTACTTGCTTTTTTGTTTCATTTAATCCTCAGAGCATAAGCTAGAGAGGGAAGTGACATTGCTCTTGGTGTACTTCAACCAGAAAATAGAAATATTTAGGGGCCTTTGGTATAGGTTTGCCATATCTTGACTGACACATGTTACAAGCAAAGCACTGTTGTAACGTTGAAGCATAAAGATCTCATTCTAAGCACCAGCAATGTCTCAAGTGCATTCACCATGGGCACAAATTAATACATTATTGTCAGAGAATGCATATTATTCAAATATAAATGCTAAATGATGTTATCAATAGGTTGCCATCTAACATCCATTAATTAGTCTTTGTTTTCATTCACACCTAATACATTATTTTTTCATTTCTGTTGTTGTTCTTTCAACTGTTTTGTCAGGTTTTTTCTAATTCATCCAAAGGTCAGTAGGGATTATAGGTAATAGAGGGAAGCTTTTTGACCAAATTTTGTATTGTGGAAAGAAAAGTTCTCCTTCTTTCAATAATCAGTTGAAGCTGTTATTGTTTTAAAACAGAATGAAGTACTGTGTAAAACAGGCACATAATTATTTTAGTTTTAAAACCTTTTATTTCAGGTAAAGCATGCTGCTATATACAGAAAAAAACGTGGGTCAAAGCAAGAGCAATACAGAATGGGCAACGTATTCCTTAAAACTTACAAGATGCTTTTTAAAAACTTCAGTGCACCAACAGTACTATATATTCTTCTCACTCCTAAACCACATCTAGCAAAATGTCATTTCCTCACAAATCCTGTGCAGCCACAGCTATCTCTGGCTTTCATATAATGACAAATTCAGGTTTCCAACAGAAAACTTACAGCAATGGTTTCAGCAAATTACTTCTACCAGTATAATATATTGAAGAAATACAACTTCACATAGCTAATATCTTATTTCAAACAGCATCATTCAACTACGCAAACTAAGTATGTTGTACATTTAGCAAAGTCTAGGCCAGGCTCAGCCAGTTTTCCTATTCATCTCTCTTTCTCCTACTTAATTATCTTTACAGCAGTAAAACTCAGTAAAATTATCATTCCTCTTCCTCCTAAAGAAATACTATCAATAACTTCCCTCTCATTTTCTTCTAGAATTAATGTCAAGAGAGTACAGTAGTGATGTTTTCCTGTATAATACTGAAGTTACATTTGCTATAGTAAAGGACAAAAGCTAATCTACTCTATAATGGAGAACACGAACTGGGTTGTATCATTACTTTTGTGACAGTGAGTGGAGACGGGGCTAACAACAGTAATCTAGGGAAGACAGGCACTCAGAGAAAGGCCCTAGAAAGAAGCCTTTCCTGTGGGTGTTACACTCTTAGGCTCTAACTCAGGATAGCAGTTAATTTTTTACTGTAATTCTCTGTCTCATGTATTTGCCTGCTAAATGTGGGCTTTTAACTTTTAACATTAAGGATTTGCGCTGACAGGCCGTGATGCCAGTTGCGCAATTTGGCAAAGCGTGGGCTGTTACGTTCCGTTTCAAACCTTTCCCTGTGGCATGAAGAAAGAGAGAGAAAGACAGAGACAGAGAGAGAGAGAGAGACACACACACAGAAGAAAGAAAGGAGGGAGAAAGAAAGGGGTTAGGGACCATGACTACCACTCACCTGCCTTATAACTAGGGCAACGGCAATTTATTTGGATATTTTTCCTCAGCTTTCAGATCAGCACAAAGAAGGCTGGATGATCCTTTTTAGACCATGCATGAAAGGTTTTGCAGTTGTTCATTTCCAAGAAGTAACTCGATATAACTTCATATTCTTTGACTTGTGCTTGGTATTACAGGGCTGCTTTTGCTAGAAATGCCGGGTAATCCCATTGTTTTCCTGCCAGCAGATTCTCTCGGCTTTTCCCTCCCTCCCCCCCGCTGAGCGGTCAGTGAAAGTTAACTCCATACAAGAGCAAAATTAATGCAAACATTTTCCATTCTGTAATACCTAGGTCAGGCTATTTATATCCTGCTGCCCTTCCTGCAAGGACCATGAGCCACAGGTTTCAGCAGTACTTTTCTGTGGATTTTCTCAGCAGAAGTGAGTATAAGTGTTGGCATTTGCATAAATATTTCTGGTCACTGGTGTCAAAAAGCAGAATAACACGGGATTTTCAAAGCACAGGCCTCTGAAGTAATTGGCCACCTCCCACAAACACCCCCAACACCTTTGACTGCAGACTGGGGCGCTTCAGCAAGTTGTAAGCAATATTCAGCACCTCTCAGGATTTAATCTTTTCTAGACATTCTATAGTTTAAATTCAGGTTTTGTAAATGAAAAGGGGAAGGAGGAGGAGGATGCATAGTCAAGGAGATGCGTATCAAACAGAATGGAAAATAAAATGTCCTTGTTACTTGCAAAACGTATTTGATTCATTGCAAACAAGGTACATTTCCCCTCATTACTTACACCCAAAATGCAACACAACTGTGTTAATACAGCGGAACTTAAGAGTGAAACCAGCCAAACAGAAATGAACAGACTGGGCTGGTTTTACTCCTCAGGCTGAGGAAAGCACAAACAATAAACAGAGTAAATACCAACAAATTCACTGATATTGCTAAATCTTCTGTTCCTAATAACAGTGCCATGCAGGCAACACTCCTGAAGAAGTCTTGATATGAGACTTCTCAAACTCTCTTTTATGCTTCTAAGTAATTAAGAGATATAAAGCATTCCTAGCTGAAATGCTGAAACTTCATGATGGCATTTTTTTCAAGTTACACTGGAGCGCGCTGGCTACAGTGGGGGTTACAGGACATTTAAGAATTTCCTTACTGCTTTAAAGATATCCCCCTCCACTCAGGGCAGAGGTATTCAGAAACATCTGTTTGGCTTGAAATGGATACCATCTTTCTGGAAAATATTCTGTAACGATCATCACAACAGCAATGGAAAGTTTTCATAGCAAGATATAATCTCCTGTGTGCCTTCAAAATAGCAGTAGCACGAGCAAAGGACAGTCATGCAACGCGCTCATGAATATTAACTGAAAGGAACGTTCTGCCACCTGAAAATTCCCAAGCTTTATGGGTTCTGTTCAGAGCATGTGTCATCAAGGTAGAAGCAGCAATCTAGAAATGACTAGTTTTATGTAAAACAGCTCTGCCAAAATTAAGCTACATGTATTTTTCTTTCTTTCCCTCCCACCCCCGAGTGTTTGTAAGAAACCTGATCACCACTTGGTTCAGTTCTTGCTGACTGCACTGAAGAGCTGACACAAAGAGACGAGAGAAAGCACCAGCGCGAGGTCGCTCACAGCACGCCCTGAGACCAACATTCCCCACCCTGTGAAGTCTCTGGCAGTTTAAGTTTTGGAACGTGGAAGATTTATCAGGAATGCCAGCACAGCATGGGCTTAATGCAACACTGAATCTGGCAAGACTCAGGTTCCACAGTTCCATGGAAAACTTTTGCTTTCAGGAGCTTAGGATGATCCCAAACTGCGGGTATGGAGAGCGGTGCAGCCGTACGGGCTGTGTCTGGGATAGACTCTGCAGAGGAGTTTGTACTCTGTTACTGTGCTGGAAGAGTGGAGTTAAAGTATGGGTTCCGTGCATCTGACATTGGTCCTTCAATCCCTTACAAAATCAAAAGTGGGAGGAGCCTTGCCAAAAGACTGAACAGAAGAAGTCCAATCGGCCCAAGAGAGTGGTGTCTGATGGACGTGTGCATAACCCGGGCTGCTGCTACCAGATCTGCAGTGGAGCATGTGCAACGTTTGAGGTGGGTACCGAGCCACCAAGATGGGGCAAGCACTACCCGTTAGGTGGAAAGGAACCCCCATGTCATTGCTTGCACCAGAGCTCACGCCAATTGCCCTGCACCTCTATAACCACCTACTATTTACTCCCTTCTGCCCCTCTGCAATGAACGCCCTTAGACCCCTTTAGATAATATAGCTGTGCCTGAAGATACCTGTCCTTATGAAACAAAGGGTAATGCAGTGACACCTCAAAACTGCAGCAAATGTGCAAAGCACAGTGGATACACTCATGTACGTTAAGTTACACTGAATAGAACACGCAATTTACACATGTTGATGTGTTACTAGATAATAACTTTCAACATATCTGAATCCAACATATCTGATGATAACTTTCAACATACTAGATACTGAATATCTAGTATTTTCCAAAGCCACGGACTATGGCTAGAAAGAGTATTTCTTTGAAATAACATATTACTCTCAGATGTGTATGGGGGGCTGTTAAGTTCAGCACAATGCTTTAAATCCCATCATAATAAGGATCTGGATGCTGCTGTTACATCAAAACAGATGATGCACAATACATTTAATAAGAATTAGGCTTGTACATTTGAGGGAAGAAATAAATCCCTGAAGGCTGTAACATCAAGCCTGACGTTCAGGCACCAAGCCATGAGCGTTGGTGAACTGCAACCGAGGGTTTACAGCAAACAAACGGAAACACTGCTTGTATTGTCACAGGGAAGATGACAGACATCTGTCTCACTGATTCAACATCTCTAACTCACACCATGATCAAAAGCTCAGAACCTTTATAGAAGCCACAGAGCAGTAAAAAAAAAAAAAAAAAAAAAAAATCAGTATTTTCAGCCAATTTTTCTCTTTGCTCTTGGAGATATTCCTGCTGGGTTCCGTTTTGGGGTAGGTTTTTTTGGCTTTTCTTTGTTTTTTTAAAATCAAGTAGTTACTTGATTCAGACATTCATGCATTAATCGTTTGAATATATATATATATTTAATATTTTTTTTTGAGTGCAACGATAAGGCAACAGTAAAAAAAAGTTATAGAAATTTTGCATATGTGTAAAGGTACTAAGTTTATAAAAGTGCTTTCTA